TATTATCTATAAAAAAATCTTACAATGTAAAAATATTCTCTGGCTTAAATAACCTGCAAAAGCTTTGATAAGTCGTAAAAAAACGAAGAAAAAAATCACACGTCTCCCAAGGGTATTTGCGTGGAAGTGGATATAATAAACCCGACTGGAATATGGAACTCGGCTCTCCAACTTCGAGCCGCTATCCATTACACCACCCACACATCCGAGCTTACAGCACTTGGTATTCCCAAGCAGTCATCCATCTAGGTATTGACCAGGCTCGTATGAGAACCGGTGTTTCAATGTGACAATGTAATCCTGGCCGGCCAAGAGTCCTTTATGATCGTGACCGGACGTGTCAGGACGGAATACAACTGACACTGGCTCAAATCACGTATACATTCGGGGCAGGAGCTATTAGATGCATATGAAGCAGGTTTAGTTCAGCTTTCTTTGTCTTTCATTCGGATAAGGGAACAAAAAACACACCAGGCGTTCTGTAATGTTCACTGATATGTACAGATCGTGTTTTCGTGTAAGTGGTGGTCTTTTGCGGGCATGACGTCGATCTGGAGAGAGAGAGAGAGAGATGGCTTCTAAAGTGTATTCACCCCCTCCACATACATGGCCAACCCCAGACATCATAGTGTGATGTGCCTTAAGTTAAAACTCGCTCGGCTTTGGTATTTGTTGAACAGTGCTAGTTACGTCTAGGACATTGTTCAACCTGATCTGCGAATGTGAATGATTGTATAAAATGGAAGAGAAGTGGACATGCAGTACACACACACACACACACACACACACACACACACACAAAACTGCGCGCTAAAACTAGTAGACTTAAACATGAAGAGACGCGACTACATATATGCGAATATGGATGCATATATGCACACAAAAATAGATGCGTGATGTGAGTTTATCCTGACATATCTTTAGCGATATATTGAAACTTTATCATTTGCTCTATCGATTTGCTGTTCGGCGTTTCCAACGCAAGACCGCACTCGACAGACGACCATCGGACGGTTGTTGATGTCCTTGTTATTATTATAAGCGCTGGCTAAAATCGAGCGAAAAAAAAAAGAAAAGAAGAAGAAGCAAGAACTGAAGTCTATAATGCAGTCTATAATAAAAGCTTTCATTGGTGACCAAAGTGACATTTGGCCTATGGAAACTTTGCTATTTAAAAGGTCAAATTTAGCCTGCATGGACATATTAAAGTAAATTGTGTTACTGGACGCCGGTTCAATAGTTCACTGGGCTGCTCACTGACCAAGAAGAGACCAGTGAATATATATATATATATTACAATTCATACAAAAAGTAAATTAGTAAAGCTAATGAGCTAAAATAGCGAATTCACTCCGCCAATTGAATTTTAAAAGTGCATTAACCCACTAACTACTCGATGAATATTATGATCCTTGTTTTTTTAAAATTATAAACTATATTCGATCTTCCTTAAATATGTAAGTACTTTCGACAGGTTCTCCGGTCATCATCAAGCATGAAAACCTGTCTAAAGTACTTGCATCTTTAAGGAAGACCTAATAAAGTTTATAATTTTAAAAAACAAGGATCGTAACATTCATCGAGTGGTTCGTGGGTTAATGCATTTTTAATATTTAACGAAGTGAATTCGCCATTTTATCTCATTAACTTTACTAATTTACTTTTATATGAATGACTCATTCTAATATAAATTAAACTGCCCCACAATTGACACACACACACACACACACACACACACACAACACACACACATATATATATATATATATATATGAAAATTTCTCCGATTTAACCAGTAGAAGACAATATTTATGAATAAAAATGACAATAGGAAAACTGGTAATTGCTGACGCGTTTCGTCCAATGTGGAGAGTGCCGCCATAGAAAATTACCCAAATATTAATCTACGCCCAGGTTTTTTCCCCATTTCACCTTTCTTAACAAAATTACTGCTCTTACAAACAAATTTACAAAACAGATTCATAAAATCAAAAGAAAATGGTTGAATATTATCAACACAGATATAATGACAATATTCTACACACATGACAAATACTGACGTTATTTTCAGTTAAAAATATGAAAATAGCGTTTCTCTACATTCCAGTTGCTACGTACGTTCTGTTTTTGTTTTTATTAGTTACTTTGTTCAATTAATTTCATTTTCGTATTTTGTTTTGATAAAGTCCACATTGGACGAAACGCGTCAGTGGTGATCGCTTGAAGATGGAACAGAGCTTACTTTAACTCAATTTAATTCAAATAATTATATTGACGTTTTCGGCTCTTGTTTTGAAACATGCGACCTCTTATGTCGCGAGTTGGAATCATATTTTTAAATAAATAATTATATTTATGCTCTACTTTTGTATCGAGCACTATTTTTAAAAAATAATAACTAAAATACTAAGGAACTTTGGATTATTTACCTAACCAGTTCTTTCCTATTTTCTATATATTTTCAAACACACACACACACACATATATATATATATATGGGGCGGTGATAACGAAATATAAATTTTTTATAAATTAATAAACAATTTTGGAGAAGAGATGTATGAAAACTGGAAAAAAGTTTTCGTGTGACGTGATTCATCCTTAGGACTTCATCGGACTAATTTTGTTTACTTTGATGTGGCTACACAACCGCATGAACGAGAGACAATAGTAATTTTAAATTTAGAAAAAAAATTTATGTGTGTTTATATGAGTGTTTTTTATATAATCTAGACAACTGCATTTAGATTCTTTTTATTTTTGTTTCCATCATCTTTGTTATTAAATATCCCACATTGTGATAACAAAAGATCTGTCAAGAATAGTGAAACTTTGTAAGAACCTGGGTGTAAATTTACTTTGACTGAACTAGCGATTAAAGCATTTTCTAAACATTTCGTCTCAGTGAATTGTTTTCTCTATTAATTAGAGTAGCATTTTTTATTTAAAAATTCAGACCAGTCTCGTTACGATGAGCAACAAATGGGTTTAATGTATATACATATATTATTAATTAGCAGGACAGACTTGGTTCTATAGCCTTGGATGGCAACTGGTCTAGGAGAAGGACAACTCTGAATTCAAAACCTGCGGAGGATCGTTTGGGGATCTTGTGGCACGTAGTGCACCAGGTCTCTGTATTCATCCCTTCAAAAAGTGTGGTTGGTTCTGCACAAGGTCTTCACCACTATAATCAAATCATATGTGCTGATGTCTAGGCTGTCGGTTTCTAGGAATTGAGTTGCTGATCCTCATACATTGAATACAACGGGAAAGTCCATATATATATATATATATATATATAAATATATATCAAAATTGAATGTGACGAGGAAAACCTTTTTAGAAATTCAGATATAAATAAATGTATTAATAAACAAAATTGGATTCATTTTACTTTAAATAAAAGTGACTTATTAAGATAATTGTAAAAATTTATTATTTTATGCCAACACGTTTTTGTTCCTTTGAGAGACTTTATTCAAAATTAAGTTTAACTTTATTTATAGAAATTTTATTTATTTATTATTTTATACCAATAACAACAACAGTAGCATTTAGGCATTTGATAACATGGATTCATTTTATTTCCGCAAACCAGTCGCTGAAATTTTAATCTGATTTGGGAAAAATTTAAACTTCTTTGGTTTTTTATAAAACCAAAGCTTGTTCGTTTCTTGTGTAATCTTATTAAGATAATTGTAAACATTTTATTTATTATTTTATAACACCACCACCAACATCAATAACAACATACTTTTCGTTTAATATGCCCAAAAAAATCTATCTATCCATCTATCTATCTATCTAACACATTCATCCATAATTTACCTATTTCTTTTTACGCCGTAAGATTTCATCTATCTTCAATCTCAATATTTTCGAGCGTTCTCTAATTCAAAATTAGAACGTTTAACTTTATTTGCATGCTACTTCTGTGTATAAATACAGGTAGTAAATAAAATTATTACTTGCCTTGATAAAGTTTCTCAAGGAACGAAATGCATTGGCATAAAAGGTTTTCCTCTTATTTCATTTATTAATACTTGAATTTTTTTTAGCAATGCGCTGACGCGTGTTGAAATCCTTACAGTATTTAGTAATGATGAAGTTATCGCTAAAAATTTTGTCGACATTTACATCCGTCCAATTTCGCAAACCAGTCGCTTCGGAAATAATAAGCTGATTTGTTTGGAAAATATTTGATCTAAAAAATCTATCTATTCATCTAAATCTCTTCGTGATTCATTCATATTTTTTACTCCCTAGTAAAACCAACTATGTATCTTTGTACCTTCTTACTTGTTTGTACTTCTCATCCAAAATATGGTTTCGATCGGTCAATGTATCTCTTGGCTATCTATCTATTTAATCCTTTCGGGATCCATGAAGGACGGACGGACGGACTAACATCTAAAGTCACATAATTTTCTAAAATCTATCTATATCTATATCTCTTCGTGATCTATCTATCTATCTATCTATGATCTATCTATTCCATATCTCATATCTATCTATCTTCATGATCTATCATCTAAATCAGATCCATCTATCATCCATTCATCTATCTATCATATCTCTATCTATCTATCTTCGTGATCTATCTATCCATCTATCTATCTATTCATCCATTCATCTATCTATCTATATCTATCTATCTATCTATCTTCGTGATCTATCTATTCATCTATCTATCTATATCTATCTATCTATCTATATCTCTTCGTGATGATCTATCTATTATCTATCTATCTAAATCTATATCATCTATCTATCTATCTATCTATCTATCTATATCTCTTCATGATCTATCTATCTAAATCTATATCTCTATCTATCTCTTTTATCTATCTATCATAGTCAGTTCATATCTATCTATCTATCTATCTATCTATCTATCTATCTATCTATCTATCTATCTGCCTCAGTCTGTTCATATCTAAATATCTTACATTTTTTTAAATCAACGTTATTTTTCATCATTGATATGCTGTGGGAAATTATTTTTTGTACACAGCGACGCGAATGAGAATAATGACGCAACGTGGTGTGATTTGACTGGCCGGAGAAAGATAGATAGATAGATAGATAGATAGAGAGAGAGAGAGAGAGAGGGGGGGAAGGACCGGTTTCATGTTTACGCACTGTTTATGCACTACTATTGAGATAATTTTGCAAGGACCTGAATAAATGAAAAACTGAAGGAACTATGTCTGGTGAATGTCGGGAAGGGGTGGTAACACATTCCGGCTAAGCTGTAACAATTTTTGACGGGTCGCCAAAGAAACGTGACGTTTGGCACTAAAAAAGACAACACTTTTCCTGCTCGCCAATTCTGATCATTTTTCTTAAATTGCTGCCTTTAATTCGTCCAGTTGCGTGCAGTATTTTTCAGAATCAGTTGACTGGTTACTTGACAGAAGATTCCTTTCCGATCCCACCAGATGCACAGTATGGCTCTTTTAAGACGAAGACCTGCTTTTGAGGTGGCTGAAATTGGCTCATGTCCCTTCAGGATCTTTTTCGCTGAACATTGTTGTAAACGATCGATTTCTCATCACCCGTTACAATAAAAAAAAGGGTGCATGCTCATTGTGTTTATGCAGCAAATCACAGATAAAATACGGTCCAAAATATTCTTTTTAGTCAAATCATGTGGTACCAAACATCATAACGATCTGAGTACCCATTGCTTCACTAAGTTCATCATAGATGGTGGATTTTATAAATTTAGTGTTTCTGCCAATTTCCGCATTGTGTAATGCGGGTTATTCTCAATCAATGTCTTGATTTGGTCGTCATCTGCAGTTTATGCTTGAGCGTTCTTCATCAAGGCTATAATCACCAACTGTAAACTTAGCGAACCATTTCCGTACAATTCTGTCAGTTGAAGCACCTTCAACATACATAGCACATACCTTTTTTTTTTTTGCTTGCGAGACATTTTTGCCTTTACAGTAAAAAAAATCAAGTGTCTAAAATACACCTTATAATATTTCATTTTCATAGGGGTGCAAAATTGACACGAATTAAGTAATTTCAAACTTTCTTTCTCAAGAGATAGTTTGAAGTGTGCTCTAATCGGAAATGTAAGACTATTATATCTGTCGATAAATTTGACTTGTTCTAACGTGTTGGAACATGAATAATTAAACATCGGCATGAACTCTCCGGACAAACCAACATATTGTAGTGCGTGTGTAATCAAGCTAGATTCGTAAACGAACTACATTTCTTAGTTCCTCCAACTGTAGCTCTCCTAGCTAAGACCCACCACAACGCGTATATTGAGGCGGAACACTCTCATTCTTTCGTATTCCATTAGTAAAGATGTAAATTCCACTCAGATAGCTTATTCTGAAGGACTGGATGCTTTCCTGACCACTACAATCTTAATTTCTTTACCTCTAGGATTAACTGTTACCTTTCACATATATCCTCATAAAACGCACCCTTCAGTAACCTAACTTGAGTGACCCTTGTATAGGGTGAATATCAGTAAAAAAGGATTGTTAGTATAAAGAGCTTATTTTTTATTCGATGCTTTGATATTGTAACCCTGTGCCAAACTTAGCAACTATTACTAAATACTTATAACAGATGTATATCTTATATGGAGCGACTGTACCTTGTGCCATGTTAATCATCATAATGCGAACATTGGCTGGACAAGAAATACCATATTGGATGCAATTGAAAATCGCCAAGTCTAAAGATGATTAGATTGAATAGATCCAAATTCATTTTGCTTGATTCAAATTCCTTCATTGATAAAATGAAGCCTGTGATGCAAATGAGCATATTCATAACTGACTAACTGGCAACGGCCGACTTACAAGGCATTACCAAAAGAATTGCGATATAACTTTTTCGACAGAATCCATCTTGCACCCCCCCCAAAAAAAACAAAACAAACAAACCTGCCATTCGTCCGTGCATTCAATATTCCTGTCATATTTGGTTTCGGGCCCCTGCAAGATATCACAAGATTCTCGACAGAATTCAGACAAGCGTCTGTAATGTTATCAGTCCTGATCTCGGCTTCAATCCCTTTCCCATCGTCATAATGTGTCTTCTCTGTGTCTTTTCTATAAATATTTTCATGGCAATTGTTTTTAATGAGCTTTACTTGCATTGGGGATTAGTTTTTTAAATTGTTGTTATATCACATTCCCCCTCCCCCACAGACAAGACTTGTACATATGGAGACTAGTTAGTATTTCATAGAGACAAGGAGGTATTATGGTGAATGTAGTAAGAATATTAAGATTGCGTTGTTTTGGGTTAAGGAATATTGTGGTATGTTTGCGTCAGTGATTGTGGCTAGCCAAGTTCAGTGTTATCGCAGAAGATGACCATCCTTTTCCTTATTCCCCATTTTGGCCATCAGCCACATTTCTGTACATCATGCAGAATAAATATCGCTCTCATTGCTACCTAGGCTGCATAATTTAAGTGTACTAAAAGATTATCAGCTAGGTCTCATCATCTTACTGTTGAAATAGCTAGATGTAACCGTAAGTTCTATTCTAATAGTTTCTTTTTCGCACTTCTTGTCTGTGGAACTCTCTTCCGTTTTTTGCTTCCCTGCCATCTACAAACTTAAAAAATGTTAGCGCAACGCTAATCGATACCGTCTGTCTCCCTGAATCTTGTCTTAGTTGCATTATAGCTTTGCTTATAGTGAAATGATTAAAAAATACTTATAAAAGATGCGTATGTTGGAGCGATTGTGCCTTGTGCTATGTTAATCATCTTAATGTGCACATTGGCTGGAACAAAAAATGCCATATACGATGCAAATGAAATTTGCGAAGTCCCAAGATGATTAAATCGAATAGTTCAAAATTCATCTTGTTTGATTCAAATTCTTTCATTGATAAAATGAAGTCTGTGATAAAAATGAGCGTATTCATAACTGACTGACTGACAACGGCCGACTTACAAGGCATTACCAAAAGAATGGCGATATAAGAAAGAAAGAAAGAAAGAAAAACTATTTTTGTTCGTGAAGCATCTTTCTTGAATGATACATGTCGTCTTATCAGACCGATTTCAACTTGTCTCTATAATGCGACCATTGGTGGAAGGCGACAAGAAAAATGCTTTGTGGAGGATCGAACGATTGATGAATTGATCAATCATATAATCAAGTCAGCGAATTCAACAGTTTCTATCATCTGACTTATTTGTATTTTCTTTTTTCGTTTCTGCTTTCTCGTGTATTTTTTGTTTTGCTTTGTGAATGTTTGTAACCTTAGAAATCTATAACCTGGTGCTTCCGGATATTTGCATGAGGCTTACTTTAGTTTTCGCCGACAGGCCGCCATTGAATAATGAAATCTGAATTCTTCCTATCAGTTTTTTTCCTTTTCTTTTCATTTTTTTTTTTGATTTGATCATATATGCTCCCGGGGTTGGGAGTGGACTAAGAGAGTTGAGGTAAGCTGTCCTTTTCGGCGTTAATGGAGACGGATAAAATGGTGCCGACTTATTGATAAAACATTTTCATTGTTGCTCCAAATAGTCCGCTATTTATGCGCCTCGACGTTATGTAATAGCTAGCAAGCTTTTCTCACCAGATCACATATGACTGCGTAGTGAATTCGATTCTCACAGGGTGCACATTAATCTTGTCCTTGTGCCACAACTAAGCTATATTTAGTAAATCATTAGCTAACCATTGGTCGACGTGCACCAATGGTTAGCAAGTTTGCCTCGTTAGATCAATTAGGACAGAGTAGTGAGTTCGAGCCTCACTAGGTGCTCCTTAATCTCAGCCTTGTGCCACAATATCACTGGGCACTTCGATGTAGTGTAATGGTTAGCAGATTTGTCTCGCTAGATCAATTGTGACAGGATTAGTGGGTTCGATCTTCCCTGAGTGCTTCTTAACCTTGGCCTTGTGCCACAACTAAACTACGCTCAGTAAATCACTTCGACGTGGTGCAATGGTTAGCAAGCTGGTCTCACTAGATCAATTACTACTGAGCAGTTCGAACCTCATTAGATGTTTCCATACTTTCGGCCTTGTGCCACTTCTAAGCTACGCTTAGAAAATTGCCAAATAGTCTGCTATATTCTAGGCTATCTGACTTCAGCAATCACGTGGCCTAAACCAACCAATTACTATTTCCGGCATTTGCATATTAAAACCGGATGTTTAGTGGTCATCAATGGGGAGCGAAGTAGAGCAAGTTCAGCACCTTCTGCAACTTCCTCGGCATCTTATAAATAAGTTAATATTTTGATTAATATATTATGGTTATCATATAATAAGTAGGCTCGTCCCCCACCCCTTTGTTAGTTTGCATGATAGTTACGCCCTGCCAATAACTCATTAATAATGGACTATTCCGTTTTGATCGTGTGAGAAGACAAAACACATATCAAAGATGGTATTTAGTTCCAGTAAGAAAATGAAAGAAAGAAGGGAAGAGAGAAGTGGTTTAACGTTTGTTTCTGTGAATTAGAAAAAGTTGTCAATTTCAAATATTTTTATTTCTACCTCCTTATTTCTTAAAAATAACGACCAGAATTCATATTTATGATTGCTATTGCAATATTTTGCTAAAGTTGTTAAGCTCAAATATTTAACGATATGGTAGAATAGAGGAATTTCTACTGACATTTTATTGTCGTAGAACGCGCCATCAGCTTATTCAATCGTTAATTGAAGAATTGAGATTCATCAGAAATTTAAAATAGGAAAACCGCGAAATTTTCATGGATTAAAACGAGTTTAAATAATTTGATAATTATAATAAATGAAACGTTATATTATAAATAAATATATTTCGTTATTTTTATTATAATATCCCATTATAAATAATTTGAGGATTATACTATGAAATATTATATTATAAATAAATGTATTTGGTTATTTTGTTATCAATTATTTTATTATAATATCCCATTATAAATAATTTGATAATTTGATTAGCTCAGTAGTATATTCGTTCCTACGAATATGTTTTTAAACGCTTCACTCCAGTCAATGCGACAATGCCACTAGACCGCTGGCGGTTACAGGGAGTGAAAGTGAAAGTGAAAGAGAATGATAAAACTGAAAATGGAGAGGATTGTGAAAAGGACACGAAAGGAACAAGGTTGAAGAAGTAGAAGATGACGATTTACTCTGAATTTAGATTTTTGAAAATTGTATTAATCACAGGGAAGCAAGAAGTCGGAAGGGAGTTCCATAGGTGGGAAGTGCGACAAAAAATCTGTTAGAGTAGTGTGGCAGAGAGCAATGCACCCCTGAAATATTAATAATTATAGTAATATACAATTTTGTTTATAGATGAGAAAAATAATCTGTGGCGAAGTTTGTGCCCAGAGAATCGGTGCTTCGTCAGAATTATTAACATAAAATGTCAAAACAATAGTGTTTATATGAACTACGGAATACCAACTGAGAAGAAAAAACTGTTCATTTAGTCATGAAGTGGGAGAGGTCAGTAATTAGGTTGTATCCTAAGTTTACCAACACCCTGGGTTTTTGTCGCTACTACCGAGTTTATTTAACCACGTGTTTGTGCAAAAACAAACAGTCGAAGTCTTGGAGCTGGATGGAGTTGACAAGCAGTCGACCAGATAGATAGAGATAGAGATAGATAGATAGATAGATAGAGAGAGAGAGAGAGAGAGAGAGAGGGGGGGTGGACAGTGAGAATGAAAGCTCCGCTTGCTGCTGTAATAAGGGAGGAAGTGAATTCAAGTTATCTGCAATATTGGCGCAATACTGCCAGTGAACCCTATTATATCTAGATAATGAAATAGTTACAGCAACTACAAAGAACAAAAAGGGTGAACCCGAAAACTACTTCTCTCCTTTCAGAATTATTTGCAATATTTTTTTTTTTTCGGGACTTTATTTCATATACACTACTTTCTTGTAAAAGAAGCATTATTCTTTTTGTACCAATTCCTTCCTTATATACATATACATAAATTTTTATTTTGCCTCGAATCGACTTGTTCATCTTTGATTTTTCTGCTTGGCTCGATTCTCGTCCCAACGAACTTGCAGGTAGACCAGCTGAATCTTCTGGGATCTAGGATTTGTTAACTGCTCTCCAGGATCAAAAAAATCACAACGTGTCTGGAAAGTGGAATCGAATCGACATGGTGAACCGGAGATTTTGATTGAACCTGTAATACTGAATCAGGACAGGACCAATGGCTGGTCTTGTAGAGTACATCAATCCAGTAGGGGTAAAGATAGGTTGTTACAGTAGAAGTGACGTTTACATCTAGCTAGTTCAACAGTAAAAACTGTGAGACATAGTTGCTAATCTAGTAGCGCTACTAACAATGAGATCTAGTTGCCAATTTAGTTAACTGCTAATTCATTTAGTTTGGACACTAGGGAAAAACAGTTGCCATAAAATAAATGTAGACCAGTGAGAAGCCACGTCACGTCAGTGAGAAAGGGATTGTAGACGAGATGCCAGGTCAGCATTGATTATATTGCAAACCCTTCTCTGGATTTTGTCAATAATCAAGAGATGTACAGTAGGAGCACCAAACGAGATACAGCAACAGTATATATTACATGGATGGATGGTAGATTTATATATATGCAAGATGGATTCTGACGAGAAAAAAATTTGGCACGACACAGTGAACTAACTTTCCTACCTTTCTAAAAAGAGATAGGATAATAATTTGAGAGACCATAGGTTCCCCAGAGTTCTTAAAAACAGTAATTACAGAAGAAGATTTTCAACAAGCTGAAAAGCAACGAGGAATTTGTTGTAAAGTTTGGCGAGAACAGGAACCAGCTCAGGAGCACATTTCTTTAGGATGACGGCAGAGACCTCTTCGCATCCGCTAGCCTTTTGGGGAGTCTAATTTAGAAATGATGCCAGAAACCAGTGGATAATAGTAAAAGTAATATTTACGGACGTAGAGTATTTTTTCGAGAAAGATATAAGTATTATTAGAAGCTTCATCTACCACAAGGAAAGTTGGTTCTCTGTGTCGGGTCAGAAAGTTTTTCTCGCCTGAGTCCATCCTTCAAATCCATAAATCAACCATTCGCCCTTGCATGGAATACTGATGCCATATATGGTCTGGAGCCCCCGATGTTCGTCTTAAGGTCCTCGACAAAATCCAAAGACGGATATGTGATTGGCCCTGATCTGGCATCTCGTTTACAGTCGTTCTCTCACAGACGTGTCGTCCCTTCTCTCTGTCTTTTCTACAAATAATTTCACGGTAACTGCTCCAACTTCTGGTTCCCAGATTGCATGAATGTATAGGTGCTATTAGGCTATCATCTCATTTCCACCCTTTCACTCTGGAAACGGTTAAATATAGCCGTCTCTCCTACTCCAATAGCTTTATGTTTCGCACTTCCCGTCTGTGGAATTTCCTTCCTATTACTTACTTCCCTGATAGGTATAATCTCCATATATTCAAATGGAATATCAATCGATATTGCCAGATGCCTTGATCTATTCCCGTCCTTCTCTCCATAACTTTCCTCAATCACGCTTCTTTACTCTTTCTCCCACTCTCTGTAACCCCTTGCATGCTAGTGGCACTCCCGCCTTGGTTGGGGTGAAATGCTTAAAAAAAAAAAAAAGAAAGAAAAAAAAAAGGAAAGCGAAAAGAAAGGGTTAACTATTAACAATAAGAAGACAGAATAGATAGTCGCTAGCAAAAGAGATAGCCAAAGTTGTGAACAAAGTATTAAAAGTATCAAAATTAAGCACTTGTAGAACTTTAGCTAATTTGGTTAAGTGCTAACAGATAACGGAGGATGTGATGCTGAAATCCGGTGTTGCGTGAGGATACAGAAAGATGCTTTCAAGAAACTAAGCAGAGGATTAAGAAATATGCATATGTCGTTAGAAACAAGGAAAAGATAAATGCTAAGTAATATTTAATTTCCTATATGTCAGTGAATGCTGGGCATTCTCTTCGCAAACGAAGATGAGATTTGAAGAGACAGATATGTGGCTTCTCCTGACAAATGTTGAGCATAACATAGATAGAACATGTGAGCAACGAGGATGTTTTAAGGAAAATGAGAACAAAAAGGATATTTATAATTACAATCAGAACGAGGCAGCTGAAATCTTCTACTAGACAGATAATAAAGAAAGGGGGCCCGGTGAATTTGACTCACAGGTCATAATGGAGGCAAAAGAAGCAGACGGAAATTGAGTAACCTATTTAACGAGATTGTGTGAACGGATGGCAAGACAAGGACGAAGAGGAATCGTAAAGGTTTCTTAGAGTAATATAAGAGAGGAAGTTGTCGAGAACCATGATCATCCACGTCCTAAAAGGACATGCCACATAAAAGAAGATTCATATCATGTTTCTATTTGGCATATTACAATTATCATTATCATTGTCGTGATTTTCCTGTAATTTTAGCTGCCCAAGTTTAAAAGGGGAGATGCTTGTGCTTATAAAAATGAAAGACGGAAAAAAGGGATAAAGATGAAGAGAAACAGAGAAAGCGAGAGGGAGGGAACAGAGGAAGAGCGAAAATGATTGACAGGTAGGGCCGGAATGATAATGGTAGAGAGAAAGAAAGAGGAATGTTGAGAATTGGCAATGGGAGAAGAGAGAGAGAGAGAGAGAGAGAGAGAGAGAGAGATGAGAGAGAGAGAGGGGAGAGAGAGAGAGGGGAGAAGAGAATGAAAACTGGAAAAAACAACGAGAAATTTGGAAAGGTGGAAAGAAGCCAAGAGAGATGACAAGCTTGAAAATCTGGGAGAGAAAGCAAGAGAGGGAAAGAGAGAAAGAGAGATGTTTTACATATATATATATATATATATATATATATATACATACATAGGTATATATAGAGAGGGCGTGTGGGAGAGAGAGTGAGAAAGAGAAAGAGAAAGAGAGAGATACATAGATAGAAAGTGAGAATTACATAGGTAGACAGAGAGGGAGGAGAGACAGAAAGAGAGAGAAAAAAGAGAGAGAGAAAGCATCTGTGTGTGTGAGAAAGAGAGAGAAATAGAAATAGATAGATAGATAGATAGATAGATGAGAGAGAGAGAGAGAGAGAGAGAGAGAGAGAGATAGATAGGAGAGAGAATGGGAATGGAAAATGAAAAAAAAGCGAGAAATTTGGAAAAGAGGTGGGAAAGATGCCAAGAGAAATGACAAGCTTGAAAAATCTGGGAGAAAGCAAGAGGAGAGAGAGAGAGAGAGAGAGAGAGAGAGAGAGATATACATATATATATATATATATATATATATATATAGGTATATATATAGAAGGGCGTGTGGAGAGACTGAGAAAGAGAGAGAGATACATAGATAGAAAGGAGAATTACATAGGTAGAGAGAGAGAGAATGAGAGACAGAAGGAGAGAGAAAAAAAGAGAGAGAGAAATCATGTGTGGGTGAGAAAAAGGAGAGAGAAGGAGAAATAGATAGATAGATAGATAGATAGAGGGAGAGAGAGAGAGAGGGAGGAGACAGAATGGGAATGAAAACGGGAAAAACAACGAGAAATTTGGAAAAGAGGTGGAAAGATGCCAAGAGAAATGACAAGCTTGAAAATCTGGGAGAAAGCAAGAGAGGGAGAGAGAGAGAAAGAGAGAGAACGATACACACATACACACATATATAAATAGAAAATATATATATATATATATATATATATAAATATATATAGAGTATATATATAGAGGGGTGTCTGGGAGAGAGAGTGAGAATAGAAAGAGCGAGAGACATAGATAGAAAGGGAGAATTACATAGGTAGACGGAGAGGGAGTGAGAGACAGAAAGAGAGAGAAAAGAAGAGAGAGAGAAAGCATGTGTGCGTGTGAGAAAGTGAGTGAAGGAGAAATAGAGATAGATAGATAGATAGATAGATAGATAGATAGATAGAGAACGAGAGAGAGAGAGGGGGGGGAAGAAATGAAAAAGAGAAAGGAAAGTAGAGACCGAAGATGCGAATGAAAGACACAATGAAACGACAAAAAGAAAAGGATGACAATGGGAGAAGGACAATGTATAAAAATATACAAAAGAATGGAATGTCGGGAATGATACAAAAATGTGAGAGAGGGAAAACGCGAATGAAAGTGAGGAAGAGAGAGAGAAAGACAGTGGGAGAGAGAGAGAGAAAGACAGAGAAAGAAAGAGAGAGAAAGCGAGAGATCGAAAGAGAGAAAATGGGAATGAAAGTGGCAAAAAATGTGCGAGAAAGGGAGAAATGACGAAAAGAGATAGAAACAGAGAAATGACAAGCTTGAAAATCAGGGAGAAAACGAGATACATACATATATAGAGAGAAAGAGCGAAAAGTAGAGAGGGAGGGAGTGAGATATAAAGGGAGAGAGACAGAGAGGAGGATACATAGAAAGAGAAAGATACATAAGTAGAGAGAGAGAGAGAGAGAGAGAAGAGAGAGAGAGAGAGGACAGTAATGAAAAGGTGGAAGGAAAGAAGAGACTGAAGATATGAATGAAAATCTGAGAAAATGAAACGACAAAAAAAAAAACAATAAAACCCCCCAAAAAACAACAAATAAAACAAAAAAAAAAAGAGGCGATGGCGATAGGAGAAGAAATAAGAAACAAAGAAATTTTACAAAAAGATTAAAGAGAAAAAAGATATTAAAAAAAAAATCAAAGTCTGTGTCTAGAGGGTGGGTTAATATTTGGCCAAGTCTCTACAGAAATGGATTGCGTGTGTAGAATATAAAATTTTGGAAATCAGCGAGACGGCATTCACTAAACACGTTCGTGTATATCAATATCACACTGAGGCCGAGAAAAAGAAAATGAAAAAAGAACACCTTAAACGTTCACGGAAAAAACGACATTATAATATAGTTTGCTTAACTACGCAGATAATGATGTAGCACACCCACCCCATTCAGACATTTTGAAAAGCAAACCAATATTAGCGGAAACACATTCATACATACGAACATAGATCAATAAATTCGTAGTTTGTTAGGTAGGAATTATTTGAATTTGTCACTCCATAATGTCCGATCTATGGGATTAATAGAGAAGTGCTGGATTAAGCGTATTGACAAAGAAGGGGATTATGTTGAAAAACAAATATTTGTTATTGGAAAATGTCGATGTGCGGGTAACGGTTAGCACCTTGGAAAGTGAAATCGGCAAGCGGTGTTCGAATTTAGTGACAACCACTTTCGAGCAAATATTTTTGGGAAAGGTATGAATTCATCACTTCTGTCTCCAGTTATGGGTTAAATAACAGGACGAACTGAGCTCTCTAGCTTTTACTGGCAACCAGTCTAATAGAAGGACAACGCTAACCGTTATTTATCCTACCATTTAGGTCACGTGAAGCAATTATGACGAGGCAAGATGAAATTGCCTTCTCAGCAAATGCATTTCTCTCGGCGGGATGTTTGGGAGAATGTATCTCAGATAAGAAACAAATATATATGTTGGGTATACGGCAAATTCACTAAGAACGCTTTCACTACACATGTCTGACTATTCGTCCATTGCGAGACATCTACAGCAACATTCCTGTTCGCATTCACAATATAAAAAATTATTAATCGACAACACAACTATACACCATGAAAACAAAAAAAATTAGATTACAGATACTGAAAGCAATTTATATTAAAAAATTAAAGCTGGCATTGAACAGAATCAACTATGAATACTACAGTAATGTTCTGAAATGCCTGTAAAGGAACAGTTTTTCACGCTTTAATGCGCGCGTGACCATGGCATTATAACATAGAGAGAAAAAAAAATCCATAATGGATAATGTTTTGCACGTTCTAATGAATGCTCAGCACATTGTCAACCGTTTTGTATTTAAAAGCATAATGAAAAAAAATTACGGTAATGGATAACAACGCACAACTTTGTATTAATACTTGCACTAATGAACAACATATACTTTTGTACTACTTGCACCCCTGAAGATGATCTTGGAAAAAGATCGAAAGTACTTAGGAAATGAAAATAAAAGAAATTTAAACATCTACAGCATGTTTCTCTCATCGTTTAACATCAACACACGGAAGGTTATTTGTGAATATGAACGGATTTTGTTAAAAATTAGCAGACATAATGTTTGTAATTTGTTCAATCAGACATGCCTAAAAGAGAATTTGCTGCCTAAATGCACACACACACACACACACACACATATATATATATATATTACTCAGTGTTCCAATGTCTTGCGGGATTTTTTAAACAACCCACAAAATTATTCGATAAAAAATAAATAATACTCTTTTTTTAATTCTTTCTTTAAGAAAACCATTTAAAGCTTTGAGCTCCCTAACATTTTGCGTATCCCATCTTGTACGTGTGTGTGTGTGTGTGTGTGTGTGTGTGCGTGCGTGTGTGTGTGATTGCCTGTGCTCATTCGGAGTCTTATAGTGTTCAATACTTTCCTCTTTTTCTTCAAGAACAAAGCATAACAGAAAAGAATTGATCTTTACCTTTATTTTCCATTCGTCAGAAGTTCTTTGTTGTTTTTTCCCCACAATTCTCATTCCACTTTCGTCCTTTCCCTTCGGCTATCACCATCCTGTCATTTCCAGCGTTTTATGCGTTGTTCCTTATTAATTATTCATAAGGGCATATCCACCAATTTTCTGTTTTTCAAGTGGCCTAAATACGGCGGCCCCATTGCGAGCTGGAAGCACGGCCACTCAGTCAGATTTATTGCAATTAGTATTGCGAGATGGTGGTAGTGTAAAATCTGTGTTTACTACTACTACTACTACTACTAATAATAATAATAAGAAGAAGACTCTTCACGTTTGCCTATTTGAATTTTCGGATGAATTATAATTTTTAAGTTAATGTGTGAATAAGCTGCTTGCAAATTCCACTACTCTAAAATACCAGTCAAAATTCCCCTATTGCATCGTTAAATATTTGAGCTTAAGAAGTAAGGTGGTACAAATGAAAAGAGTTAAAATTGACAACGGTTTCCATTTTATTGAAACAGACGTTAACCATTTCTTACTTTTTCTCACTGAAATCAAGTAGCGTCACTGATATGTCTTTCCCGTCCTTCCACGCAAAAACGGAATAGTCAATTATTTATGAGATATTAGCAGGGCCTACCGTATTGTACATGTTAACTAACGAACGAAGGGAGGGACAAGCATAATAATAATAATAATAATAATAATAATGATAATAATAATGGTAATATTAGCCTTTCCCTTATAATGAAACGTTTAGCATTCATTGACCGAGCAGTCAGTACTATTGTCGGTTAAATTTATAAAATCTTTCTCGTAAATCAATTTTTCAGGAACATAGGCTTCTCGAGTCCAGTAGCTGATAAAGATCTTTCCAGTACTAATAGTGGTTTCCTTCCTATCCTTTTATTTGGAGTAGTGTGTAATGTCAACATTTTGATTATGTCATCATTTTCTCTTTGAATTAGATGTGATGTGCATTTTAGTTGTTGCTGTTGTTGAAAGTCCTTAAGTAATTTGCTTTCTTCTACATGGTAAAGTTCCTCTAAATGGCTGGGTAAAATTAGGACGCTGATTCGAATTGAGATGCTTCGGAATACAGTATTGCTTGGGACAGCCAGAATGCTGAGAATGGTTTCTTCGATCTAGAGAGGCGAAGAAATAGCAAGGAATACAAAGATCACATCATTTTCTAATTTGTCCGGTTCACACTCCTCCTGAGTTTTTGAACTGGTGTAGAGGTTTATCCCTTGTTTCCTGTTTATATTTGGGTTCCCGGTTCCCTCTAAAGTCTACTTCAACTATATTTCTAACGTCTCCACTTAAACTCTGAAACTTTATTTAATATTTATTTGTTACTTTTTCCTTAATCGGAGTAAATAGGCTCACCAATTGTCCGAATCACACTTCGCACCAGTCTTTTGAACAGGAGTAGAGGTTTATCTATTGTTTCGGGTTCCTTCTAAAATCTCATTCTCTTTAACTCCCAGTAGCTAATAGCCCATTGCGTCTTAGCGGCATTTTCACCTTGCTTGGTGTGAATTAATAAAATTTTTTTAGTCCAAACAGCTTAAATGTTCGGAAATCAAGAATTGATTGCTTGATTTATTTTTTTTTTACGGTTTATCAACCTTTTTGTAGTTTATGTAAAGCCAGCAATTATTTTGAATAGTAAGAATTATTTTGGCGATAATAATGATTTTCTGATACAAGTCTTCCAATTTAACTCATAGCTGAGGGGAGAAGTGGTGGATGACAAGGGTATTTGCACGTAACTGAATATAACGAACCCAACTGGAATTGGAACTCGATTCTCCGATTTCTCATTCCAAGCCGTTATACATTACACTACCCGCACACCCAAGCTTACAGAATATGGTATTCTAGAGCAATGAACACAGGAGACTAAATCAATTCCACTTTTCGCGCCGATATATGTCTCCTATTTAGGTACTGCTTAACTTCGCTGATCATACGAGATATGGCAAGTAGACCCATATCTTTGTGTCATTTGTAAAAAGACAAAAAAAAAAAAAAAACTCTTTTCAATTAACTGACTGAAGACCTCATTCAGTCCGGTTCTTGATTGTTCTATCTTTTGATGAGTCAACCCCACACGGACCAATCTATACGTGACACACGCACACACCTCTAATTCCCAAGGAGTTTGACAACAGGCTATCACCTATCCTCAGCACACGAGGATATATATTATATTTGCACACACCGACTCAGTAAAGAGAGGTAATTGCAAACATCTAAATGATGACGCATGCGCACTTTCTGACCTTGTATATACGTTGCATCAAGGCCGAATCACATTGGATGGATCGAGTTAAAGACTGCCTAATTCTTTTATCTCACGATTAAGAGCATAATTGTTTCGCTGTGTGAAAATTTTGTTCATTAACGACCCGAGTAATTAATGTTTACAGTAAGCTTCGACCGAGCTCTTATGCGAAGGGACTTTTGCAGTGTCGGACATGTTGCTGACCTTAAAGGTAATTAAATAGTTTGCACCAAACCGAACTCCGTCAACCTTTTAGCGTCGGATTGAGTGAAATCTTCATACGAGATTTAAACATATGTAAATTTAGACGCGTATTCATACACAGGCATGAAGAAAATTTTACAGGGACATGTTAATATATAATGCAGGGGTTTCAAACTCAAGGACATAAAAGGGTTATTGGGTGTTGAGGGAAAGTGTGCAGGACGCCGGTCAACCAGTGGACGTGTACCTAACTAAAGCACCACGGACCCACATAGCTGAATTCAATCAGTTAAATTAAGTGTGAAAGTGTATATGCATGTGTGTGTATGTGTGTGTGCGTGCGCGTGTGTGTGTGTGTGTGTGAGTGAGATAGATAGATAGATAGATAGAAAGATAGATAGATAGAGAGATACGTAGATAGATAGATACGGAAATAGATAGATATGGAAATAGACAGATAGATATATATATGGAAATAGATATATATGGAAATAGACAGATAGATACGGAAATAGATAGGTAGATAGATACAGAGATAGGTAGATAGATAGAGAGATACGTAGATAGATAGATACGGAAATAGAGAGATAGGTATAGAAATAGACATTTAGATACGGAAATAGATACGATTTACTTTTTGTATATATATATATATATATATATATATATATATATATATATATATATATATATATATATATATATTCGCACTTTTCTTGAAAAGTTTTTGATTCTTCTTGGCAATTTTCCTTTTCTTAGTTTCTTTCATTGTTGACATCTTTTTATTCCAGTTATATTGTTGACCAAAATCAAGTCTTCCTCCCTTGAAATTTCAGTTTATTTAACAATTTTCACTCAAACTTCTTTCTAACATGATTTTCTGTTGTTTCAATATGAGATTAAAACCATTCTTCCTCTTCTGATGAAAAGAATCCCCATTTTCTGTTGTGTGTATTGGTTATCTGTCCTCCTGTAGCCATTCCACCCGAATATAGTCTTACCGCCACATCACGTTGAAACACCGGCTCCCGTACAATCACTAAAGTTAAGCAATGTTGAGCCTGGTCAGTACCTAGATGGGTGACCACTTGGGGATAACTGGTGCTTTAAGCATGGATGTGCCGGTGGTTTACTTGAGAACGATTCGGAATTGTTAATCGGAGTACTGAGCTCCAATTCCCGTTGGGTTCGTTTATATTGACTTAAGCGTAAATACCCTTGTGAAGAGTATGAGTCTACCCCTTCTCCCCAACTATGGGTTAATTAATAAGGCTTGTGTCACTAAATGATTATTATTTTGAGAAAAATTCTTGCAATCTGAAAACATTTTTTGGCTTTAAATAAACTGCAAAGGCCTGATAAGCCGCAGAATCAATTACTCAATCAATCCGAATATGTTAACAAATCTATTCTTTTTCTCTCTATGAAAATAATCGTAATTTATTGGCCTGTATAGCCTGTCAGCTCAGCTACATCAAACGCCAATATGAGTAGCCAAATATGTCTCTTTTCATCTTATGACCCCCCACCCAAAAAAAAAAACGCTCTCCATTTTCTCATATGTGAATTAGTTATATCGCATCTCAATTGTCTCATATCATCCAATAAGTCCCTCATGAAAAAATACGTGATCATTTCACTAATACTCTTATCAAGACGGTTTTTAAAAAACGTATTTTTTGTTTATTTCCGCGTTCGCTAATATATCAGATTTATTTCTCATAAAATTAAAAAAAATGAAACGAAGATATTGTTACAAAGTATTGATGTACTCTCTCGAAAGGTATACTTGTGGGGAGGCCGGGTTTTCTTCACTTTATTGGAGAGGAACTACAAATAGACTTTTGTGACCTTAAAATTGACTGCCTATTTGTACATGCTGTATAGGTCAAGATCAATACCGTTAAAGTATGGTGATTTTCTAAGCGTAGGCCGAAAGTATAGGGCACCCAGTGAGGATCGAACTCATTATTCACTCACAATTGTTCTAATCATTACACCACGTCGAGATACCCAGTGATTTTTTAAGCGTAACTTAAATGTGGTAGAAGGCCGAAAGTATGAGTCCCTCAGTGAGAATCGAACTCACTATTAACTTTTAATGAGAAAGGCTTGTTAACCATTGCACGACGGTGAAGTGCCTCTACTGCAAAAATATGAAATGGGGCGAGAGAAAAAATGATTAAAAAATGATGAAAAAATTTATTAAAATCTGAAGAAAATATTGGTCGCAAAAAGATTCCTCGCGAGCCGTGTCTTTGAGACTTCTGATATAATGAATTCAGGAACCTTTTTTTCTTTTTTTTTTTTAAATTGATTTCATCCCAAGCAAGTTAGTAAAGCCACTAAGACACAAGCAGTTACTGGGTGTGGAAAAATTAGAAAACAAACATTACTAAGAAGCGAAAACAGAATAAGAATAACCAGAAAGACAGTAGATAGCGATTGACATTGCATCTAAATTTTTGCAGATTAACACATTTGAACAACTTCTTCCCAATAGCTACTGCTTTATGGAACAGACTCCGGAGAAGATACTTCCCTGGCCTGTACAATCTTAAACCACTCGAAGTCTAACCTCAATCATTATCTATCCAACAAATCCTCAAAATCTACAATTCTTGCATCCATAAAACAACCCCATTCAGTAAACCTTTATCATGAGTGAATCTTGGTGAACGATTATCATAAAAGAAACATCCGAATGAATGGTGGTTGGTGAATAATTAGCATGAAACGTCATAAAAAAACTAAGATTCGCAATACCACGAACATTGGGACAAATCATCTTTATTCCTTTGTATTCCAGTAAGAAGGAAGAAGTTCCATTTAAAAAGCTCCTCCCCAAGAATCACAACCTTTCGGAATCAGACGCCCGAGTGGATGCTCCCTCAATCGCTACAATTTTAACCATTTCAAATCTAAATTATCTATCTTACATATCCTCATGATCTGAACTTCTTACTCTCTCTTCGGAGAGAGTAAAAACAACAATCTCATTCAGTAACCTTCAACCTTGAGTGGCTCTTGTGCCTTACATTGGGTAAATAACAACAAAAATATACGCTTACCGGTCACTTTATTACTTACATTTTTCGAGTGCCAGATTATACCCAATTTTGTTTTGTCATGAAAAACGGCTCAATTCTTCATGGCATGTATTCGACGATGTTCGAGAAGAACTCTTTCGAAATCTGGGTCCATGCTCTTATTATTCAAGATTAGTTAGCTTCAAATCCAAGAATTTAATCTCCCTTTCAATCGCATCTTAAATCCGTTGACTGTGCAAACCACTTTAACACAGAAAACTCATTTCATTGTTCCATGAACCGACCTGCTATTTTTGATTTGTAACACGGTGCTTTGTCCTGCTGAAAGCGGCCCACCAGAGGGACAGGTGCACCGCAGTCATAAATTGAGGCACGCGGTTAGCCGCAATATGCAGTTAGGCGGCAGCGGCATTTAAACGATCATTTATTCGTACCAAGAGCTTGAATGCATGCCAAGAAAATCTTCTCTGGACCATTACACTCCTACCCCCAACCTGAAACATAGATACATGGCCGGATGTTTACGCCAAATTCTTGTCTTTTTTTTTTTACAGTAAGGTTCACCCTGTACAAGGCCCGGGGTCACTCAAGGTAGAGGGTTACGTTAAGGAGTAGTTTATATAGATAGGATGGGAAGATAACGGTTAACTCTAGACTTGAACAGGTTAAGTTAGTGATCGGGAAAGCATCCTCTTGGGAGTCTCTTCCACAGAACTTCGTAAAAAGAAGCTGCTTGAGTGGAACTTACTTCTCACTGATGGAATACCGAGGGAATGTGGATGGTTTGTTCCGATGCAAGTGGCATGGCGGGTCCTACCCGTGAAGGTTAAATCTGGCGGAAGTTACGGTTCGATTGCCGCAGGATAAATCGTGGTGCATCAGACCAGGCAACGTTTTCTTTTCTTTTCAATTTATTATCATCCATTATCAAACGTAGTTTGGTAATGAAAAATAATACTTAGGACAAGAACAACACATATAAGATTCGCCAGCGGCGCGTAGAAGTAGTCAACTGCTAGAAGTGAATCAAGTGAATTCCATAACGAATCTCCAACTGAAGACCAACATAGAGTATTTATGTAAATGGGGACATGCCCATTATCGTCTGTACGTATGCTACAACACTAATGCATGAGATGAAATTCAGAAGGTTGCCATGGCCATGTTCAAAAGCCTATATTCAATAAATTGCTGGTATCTCATTGGCTGATTAAGAATTTGCATAAAAGACCATTTGTTCTCGAGCATTCAATCAAATGGTCAGTGATTGATTTATTGGATTTCAACGGCTTATCAGCCCTTTGCAGTTCAGCCGGGTTCGTTATTTTCATTTACGCGCAAATACCCTTGGAAAACATATGAATCCAACTTTTCTTCCCCAGCTATAGGTAAATTAGTAGAACTTGTAATAATTATTATAAATAAATGATTAAATGATTATTATCTCCCCAAAATTATTATAATCTAAAAATATTTTCTGATTTTAAATAACATGCAAAGGGTTGATAAGACTTAAAAAGCAAATCAGTCAATCAAAATCAGAAATCTACCTTGTAAATCTTCTGCTCCCATCACCAATTCATGTTATATGCAAATAAACGTGACATTTGTGTATGTGGGTGGGGGAATCAGTTTAGGTTTAACAAATTATAATATTTTACCACGAATGCCGAAGTCCAACATTTGCAGTAAAATGTATTTGATTTTGTAATATGAATATACAAAAAAAAAAAAAAAAAAAAAAGAAGAAAAAAGTAGAGAAAAAATAACCCTGACATTTTGTACATGCACTCTAAATATCTTTTGTTATCATGACAAGTAATAATTAAAATGAATTTCTTTTTTTGTATTCTTTTTTGATCTCTAGCATTCCTTATTAAAAATTATTTGGAGAATAATAGTTTAAGGCGTAACTTTTGTTCTATTCTATGTAAAAATTTGATCATTTTAACCAGTAACTATTGTCAATCCGCTTCTTTCAAAATGGGAAAATTGAACGTATTTTGATCGATTCCGTGGTTTTTGATGTCTAATGAAAATAACGGTTATTAAAATCTTTTTCTTTAAAAGAAAAAGAAAGAAGTTTTATTTGCACAGTTCGCATGTACACACACACACATACACATATGCACAGAGAGAGGGAGAGAGAGTGAGAGAGAGAGAAGGAGGGAGAGAGAAGGTAACAATACCCACCGCCCGAACAAAGTAAAATTCAGAGACACAGAAAAAAGATGGCACACACACACACACACACACACACACACACACACACACACACACACACACACACACACACACACACACACACACACACACACACACACACATCATAAACCCAGCCCACAACAACAACAACAAACAAATGATATTTCAGGCTCTGGAATACAATATTTGTCAAAACAAAAAATATAAATAAAATGCATTCCGACATCTTTCATATGCTTCTAACAATACTTTTGTTACCATAGCAACCCCCCCTACCACAAAAAAACGAGTAAGAATTTTTTCGTTTAACCTCTTATTTGCGATCAGTACACACTAAAAGGAATAAAAAAATAGGCCTGTAAATACTTCTATCTTGTTTATTGACGAAATATTGCAGAAAAAAAAAAGAAAATTATGTAGATAAGCTTCAACGATTACATTGTGTTCAACACAACAAAGAGAAATATTTTTCATTTCATATTTATATAAATTTGTGCGGCACAAATACCTCCCAGAAATATCTTCCATATATACCTCCCAGAAATACCACCTACATAAATATAATGCAGCTCGATAAAGATACCATTGCCACAAATATCTTACGATTATGTTGAAGGTATTTCTGGGAGGTACTTATGTGAGTTATTTCTGCCGCACCCAGTACTTGGGTGCCTGGTTTACGGATGAAACTACAGAGACTAAGATAAGTCTCCGAGGATAAGGTATACGGGTTCGAGTCTTACTTATTCTTATCCTCGTCTAAAGACCGTAGAACGTCCTGAACAGGCACGGCGCATAGAAATTTTACCATTTGGACAGAGTAAAACAACCCATAAGCTATCTATCGAGCT